TTTGCCTCAGCTAGCACCGCAGCTGCATTCACATCTAACTTTTCAAAAAATCTACGGTGCATTCTATTATAACTAGCAGTACAGAAAAATTGCTCTCATTAGGTAACCAAAGGCAGAAAAGAGTACCTTTGGAATCAACTTTGACACAGAGAAATTGATTTCCTAGATATTTTCAATGCAATATAAACAGAGATCTATTTCTTAAGTGGCCATTTCTTTCAAGTATTATTTCTGCTCTCTAATCTCACTGTTAGAAACTATTCAGAGCTTTGGTGAAACAGTGTTTCCCTCCTGTAAAAAAAAGAATACTAACAGTGTGCTCTCTAAATTAAAATAAAATCAGTTAGGTAGTGAGCCAATTTCAGCTCATTACACTTAAAGTAAATCAGAACTGACATTAACATTCAACCCAAGATAAGAGAGCCAGTAACTCTAGGGTGTGGACTTTCCCTTTTCTTCAAACTAAACTTTCAATATCAACCTCGAATAGGAGTATTGTATCTCAGACCTTATTTTAACCATGACTGGGGTGGGAGGAATTAAGTAAATTCAGTGTTAGTCGCGTCGGCCACACACAAGACGTGTCAAGTTAAACAGGGAACGTCCAGCTTTGCCAGGCTCCCACCTGCACCTACTGAACTTTTCTTTACCTGAATGGCTGTATTTCTCCTCAGCAATAATTCCTAATGCTTTACACTTTGATAAAATTAAATCATAACTTTTTTTTTTATATTTAGCTTCTAAAAACTTACAGTTAAAAACAGTCACCTTACTTTGTTCTGGTATTAAAAGCTCAGACTAGTCTAAATACAGAAAAAGTACTGCATTCTCTGAACTTGTTAGTTTGAGCTTACTTACGTGAGGGATTTTTTTTTACTAGCAGTTTATATTTCATGAACTTTTTTGTATTTAAATATTTATATCAAGCATAAAATATTTATATTTAATAATTACAAAAATAGAATACACTGTTATTTAGAAAACAAAAGGAATTTTAAAATATTTAAACATATTTAATACTAAATAAGTTTTAAACGTATTTTAAATATTTAAAGAATTTCAACAGTAAATGCTGAAATGTGTAAATAGCTCTGCCTCTGTACGCATGCACAGAAACCTGCTAAAAGTCCACCAAAGCTGAGCCCTCAACTGAGTCCTGATTCCCATTTATGCAGTAATTTCTACTTATTTTCAAACCCCTGAGCACTTGCAGAGCTGAGAAAACATGCCTTGCCACAAGCAAGAATGATGTCCTTTTGTAAGGATAGCTTATATAACTTATATTATATAGCCTAATGTAAGTTGCTCAGAAGTTCAAGGTATTCTTCTGCATATGATAGTGAAATTCATCCTTATTCTCACAATGTATCCACAAAACTTGTACATCCAAGTAACAAGGGGTGAAATGGCAAAACTTTCCACCAATCTTACTGAAATGTTGTTTTTCTGCAGATTACAGTGAGAAAAATAAATTTTTTCATGTCGATAAGTCGTCATACAAATCAGATTTGGCTACATTTTCTACTTGCGTGCTCAAAGAAAACGACAGCATCAGTAACATACAGGGGAAACTATAGTCACAGGCGACGTGTAGATAAAAAACAGGAAAAAGACCTCAAAAGTTTAGTGTCAGCTTTTTGTTGCCATTATCCTCCCACACTATGGACATGCTTTTTGTCGTCTGGCTCATTTTCTCACGTGATAACACACGGTTCAAGGAAAAAGAAACTTTTCCAAACAGGAAACAGAGAAAAGCTGGCTAATTTCCTTTATATTTTGCCCTGTTCTTATGGCTATGGCTTATCTGTGTAGCGTGGGGACAGTGTGTTTTCAACGCAATAGATTTCTGCGGACTTAATAAATATCACTTGCCTCGTGGGAGGATGTTGGATGATTAAATTGTCACTACACCGAATATAGCAGTAGCCTCTGTGTAAGGTCACCATGCGCTGGCTAGTTTTTCTTGTAAGGCTAAAGGTATTTCAAAAGACTCCCTCAGTTTTTCCCTCTTGGTGTTCGTAAAGGCCCAAGCCATTCTGTGAATTCCTTTATTGAAAGGATTAAAGCTGGTTGGGAATTTCTCAATGATTTCTTACTGAATACTTTTAAAACAAATCATTTCCTTAAGGGAAAATGGTTTGTTTTAAAAATTTTTTAAAACTTCCTGTTTTTAAAATACGAATTTATGTCACTTTAAATTAAGTGAGACACTGAAACAATCTAAATATTGAATAACATGAACAAATGTATAAAGCCAAGCTCAAAACAATTTTATAGATAGTGGAAAATAGCTGATCGATGTAAAATATTTTGCAGTGGGCTTCTCTTTGCGGACACCCAAGAGACTACATTTCAGTCAGTGTTAGTGTGATGTTAGGGAAACAAAAATCCTGAAAACTGATGGAAAACCATTTCACATCTATCTTTCTTAGGAATAGTCTCTTTTGGAGGCTCTACTGTGCACGTTGAGAGTATTTTGAAAGTAAATTGAGCTGTGGGTTTTGTACCTGACTCAAGGATTGCACGGCAATCCATTCTGCGTTACTCTTTGGCAACAGCTCACCCCTCATAAACCAAAATTTTGAGACAGACCATGTAAAACTAGAATTTACAACAGCATTCCGAGATTTCATGCAGGTGAGTTCAACATCCGTATTGTTTATAACAGTCGTTTTGTCTACAGTACTCAAAATTTCATTCCAGTAATACTTAAATGTTCCAAACTTTGACCCTAGCCACAGTGGATCATGTATTCAGTCCAAAGAGAGGCCATAATTTGTTCTTGGAAAAGGTTAATATTAAACATTTGATTAGATGTATTAATCGCTCTACTTGTATTTCTTTCAGTGTTAGTCTTCAGTGTGAAAATTATCATGCATAATCCACAAAAACTAAAAGCCAATTGATAATCTCTGCAGATCATCTACAAAGAGAGTATGTGGCAAAAGAATGCTTGATAATTGTTCTTCAATTAAATGTTGTTCAATTAATTAGAAAACATACAATTTCTCACAAATTCAAAAGCCTGAGCAAAGGCCCTCCTTCTCTTGTACTTACTGATTAAATTGGTGAATGTGTAACCTGCAATATGAGCTGAGCATAACTATATGGATCATGAAGAAGCCTGCATAATTTATTCATTTTTGTGAGAACTGGTTACAGCATAAGCAGATGGAAGCTCAAAAAAATGCGGTGCAATGAAGAAATGCAGTAATTCTACAGCCCAAGAGGGTTAGCCAAGTAAAGCAGTCACTGCATCTGAGGTACTGAGACAGCTTTAGATGTGAACGACCCATTCACTGCCTTCTAAAAAGCTCCTGAAGTTAAGCAGTACAAGCAGCACATGTGTACGCCGTCAGACCACACAAGTGCCATGTCAAAGAATCATGTAAATTTTAATGTTGAAGAGTTTTCTAAGAGTGAATTACAGTTCTATTTTACATGGGAATAGCCTTCTGGAAGAAGAACAAAATTAAATTAGTAATAGGACTGCATTTCACCAGTGCATACTAATAGCCTCCAGTTGTTAGACAAGCTTCCCCATTCACATTAGAGAAGTAACCAATTACACACATCACTATCTGGAGCTGTGAAATTTTAATTCCTGCCCCCAAAAGAGCAGAATATCAATTACAAATGCCGTGTAAGTGCAAAAGACAAGTGTCAAGCTGATCCCCACAAATAACACAGTTAAATTGCTTTTTCCTTCTTTAATTTAAGTCTTATTGTGGAAAAAGCTTCCCCCCCCCCCCCCCCCCCCAAACAACCCCCCCCCCCAGCAATTTAAATACACATATGTATTATGCATTCTGTTGCCACTCTACAGGAGTATGAATTCAGCATCCCAAGCCACATGCATACCGATAAGGACACAAACACCAAGGGCTGATGATAAATACTACCATGTACCTCTGCTATAGTCATTCTCATAGCACTGACAGGTGCGGGCTCAATATCCACCAGCTGAACTGCATTAAAACTCTAGATGCAGAGACGGCACCAGGATGGAAACACAGAGCAGCAAAGGTTAGAAAGGCAGGGCAAAGACGGTTAGAAAGATTCTGCTCACTCTATTAAGAACAATCTAAAACTTTACGGAAATAACTGACTCTATACAAAGGAGCTGGAAGTATGATCAAAATCACCATTTGTTAAAATGGAAAGACAAACGAAACTGTGTTATAGATGTTAGTATGTCGGTGAAAATGACTCTTGCGTATCTATGAACCGCATTCTTGATTTGAATCACTTGAACTGGAGATCAAGACATTTCTGTCCAAGTCAGTATACTAATGAATTCAAGTAAAGCTGCACAGGGTTAACTTTTTTAAAGACCCAGATGCAGTTTAACTGTTATTTCCTAAAATAAAGTTAGTAATGTTGGTGGGACATCAACAATCCACTTCTGTTAAAGTACTGTTTGGAAACATATTTACATAGTATGGTTTACTCAATTTTTATGTCATTAATGATTGCTTTGGAAGCAGCACATACACCAAAATAATATTTTCTGAGATTATTTTGGAATGCAATCTTTTAACAGTATTCTTTCTAAATCAGTAACTTCTTATACATATCTATAGGTATTTCTTGAGTCATTTAGAGGTACATGGACACTTTATTTGGCATAGCATCCCACCTGTTGTTACCCAGCATTAGTGAGTATTATGAGAACCTCACCAGTATGATAAAAAGGTAACAAAACGTAACAAGAATTACGCTGAAAGCAGAGAAACACAGGACTGCTAGTCACAATCTGGAAGCAAAAAAAAGATTCTGCTCTTCTGTGGATGACGCTGAGCCTGTTTGATGCTTTTGTTATGGTTACACACCTACTCACACCAGGAGCTACGTTTTCTTTCCCTTTCTTTTCCAAAAATATAGCAGAAGGGTAAACTGGACTGGGATAACAGTGATCACTATTCTCTTACCCATATATAACAACATTCTTGAAAATAGAGCAAGAACAAATCAAGTAAGGAATTCAGCAGGGTTCTTACAGTGTCACTGTCACTTGGTTGGAACTGGAAAGGCTGCGGCTTGTGAAACACAGAGTTCTCCTGTAAAAACAGCTGTAGATTGTAATCCCGCACCACCTGAGAAAATAAAAGAATGCCATTTAGATTTGTTATTTTGTAAACTTAAAAACACGCTACAGAGTCAAATTAGTATGGTGTTTCAAACAGAGATTAAATCTGCAGCAGAACCTTGAATGCAACGGAAGGAAATACAGGACCTGAATCTGGGCAGTACGACCCACAGTTATCCAGAAGTGACTGGCAGGACACACACTGGATGACAAAGACCTAAAAAATATCTGCCATTAAGCTACAAAAAATACCACAAAGGCAAAATGGGGGAAAAAAGCCAACTATTGAGTATACTGTATGTGGTGTCACTACCATAAATATTTTTCTCTCCTCTTGTGGGTAATTTCTTGTGCACAGTTCTTTCTTAAGCTGAAATGTCTTATTTTTATACAAATTATTAGTTGCAGGAGCTGAAAAGACTATTTGGAATAATGCATACAAAATCAGTTACAAAATTCATCTCTTTTTATTAAATTGCTTCCAGAGAAAACTCTCAAAGCTTGCATTTTGCTAAACCAAAACTACTTCAGCTACTAAATTTGTTTAATGATACATTTCAGATAGCGTGTCATGTACCCCTAAACAAATCTCTTGTCACAATTTACACATATTTACAAAGACAAACTCAGTGATTGCATTACGAAAAAACAGTATCACTGGCTGAAGAACTCTACAGAGTATTCACTGCTTCAATTGATGAAAATGCATAAATAGCAGCATGAAATTATAAAAATCTATTACCAAACTGAGGGTTTAAATGTACAGAGTATGAAGATGGTATTTATCCAGAAATAGCAGCATTGTGTATGACCAAGAATTCTGATTATACTGTAGGTACAATGGCAAATATAACATGTTCTCTAATGCATCAAAATGTTGAGGCTTGTGTTACTGAAATACTGAACTGTAAAAAATTAATCTTCAGTTAAAAGAAAGTAAATAGTCCTCCAGGGTCAATAATGCACTCATCTAAAACAGTAAAGTACATAATTACTGCACCAATTTGAGCAGTTGAACGTAAACACATTCAACTGCGTAGAAAACATACAGAGAAGACATACAGGGAGTCTGTATTAGGAATTCCCATAAATAGAAATTCAGAAAATACTGAAGGAGGAATCATCTGCAGCTTCAGAAACATGGCATCGAGATTATGTTAAACAGCTCCAGTCTTCACGTAGTCCTTTAGAGATACGTGAACACTGACTGTAGCACATGACTCTGTGCCATGTCAAATACAGGTAATTACTTTAAACCACCTTCAATTAGAAACGGTCCCAAAGTGTAGTTACTGAGGACCTGAAAACCTATACAGTTATTTTAATGCAATAAGCTTTCAGTGTAGACCTCTAACTCAAAAGCAACTCAGTTCGTCAAAGAAGAAAACCCATCCTTACAACAGCATTTGTAAGAGATTTTCCCTCAAAGCAACACTATTAGTTAGAAATGAGAACAACCGTTATCATGACGTGAGACTTGGGAGAGTGTGCAGGTCCAGCAAATTAATAGCCCGGAGCATTTTGCACAATATATTTGACAATTGTTAAAAAGAAAATAAAAAGACTCCTAAGCAACACAGTAGTCTCAGGATTAAGCAGTAACTTTTCCAAAGAGATTTCCTGTTATTCAGAAATTAAGTCAATGTTCTCACATAGTTTCTTTATGAAGTCAATGTCAACTGACATATCAGAATAGACTCGAAATCAAATGTTAAATATATACCATATGCAGAAAGAAGGCAGAGTCAGAGAAGTGCATAAATGAAATTATTTGTCCTAGGCTGGTGAAGCTTCTTACCACAAACATCACAGAAATGTTATTCAAAACAACAAATGGAATTTCAGAAGATGTTCCAAAGAAAAATCAGATTTTTTCCAAAAGAGAATTGCAAGAAGTACAAGTCTTGAATAAGACTGTTCAAATGAAAAGGAAGTTAAATTGCATTTTCATATGCTCAGTGTCAGAGGGTAATATTTCCTGGACATGCCAGAGGAATGACATGGGTCACCCCAGCCTAGCAGTAACAAAATCTCCAAAGCTGCAATAAACAATGCTATGATGAACTGTGAAAAACCTTCTTTTATACAGAAAACTTGTTTTTGAGATGTTTCCCTCAATCTGCATTAGCATGAGGTGACTGACAATCTCCTGAGCAGCTGAATACAACACAGCTCTGCCCATCGAAGCAGCCACCTCCGGCGCTCTGACATTCAAGAAGCAAGCAGACACTTCTGGGAAGCAACTGGTCTCTTTCTAAGGCAAATATAATTTCATTCCATCCTGTAAACAGAAATATACTTCACATGGAAAAATGAAAGCATTTCTACCAATGATCTAAAGTGTCTTTTCTAAACGTAGCTTGGCAAGCTTGTGATCTTGTACTTAAAACTAACAAAGAACAGGTGAAGTATTAAAAAAACCCAATAAATACTTAAAATTCTTTGCTTTGATGGCAGTCTGGTTTTTATTCCAGATTCCTAAATTGCTAACAAATTTGTTACTTGTTTAACATTCAAGCTGCTTTTGAAACACATGCACAGCTTTTGATATAGAGTTTCTACCTCTCTCTTTTTCTTTCACCTCTCCTTTTTGAGTTGACCGATTCCTGCAACGTGGACATACAGCAAATGCTGAAAGTTCAAAAGAAAGGACGAGCAAAGCCTTTGTCCGTGGAATAATCCACTGATTAATGTGTTTAGTATTTCAGAGCAAGACACACATTTTTAGTAGTAACGTAATACAAATTCTCTTCTCTGCATTCTTGAACTGCAAGGAGAGAAGAAAATAGGTGCCGATGAGCTATAAACCAGTTGTAAAACTCCTGTTCAGACCTGACAGCTGTATTTACATTTTTGTTCATTCTCCAGGCATTGTACTAACTTAGTAAAGCAGAAACAGAACTATTTTCCTCAAACATACAGTATGACGTTGTTACTGTGTAAAACAAGCCAGACCTGCAGGCTTCTGGCCACCCAGAGGCTTGCTAACACAAGCCATCACAAGCTCGGCGCACACAAATACATGACGAAGGTATTCCTACGCAAACGAGCTGTTTGGGAATGACAGTTGAGTTAGATGAAAGTCCCAGCCAGGCAGCGCTCCAAGTATTCTGAACCCAAAGGATTTACTACAATATTGAGAAACTGATTATGAATACGTAGACATTATATATAAGCATATTTGGTTAAAAGAATCAAAAGCAGCATTTTGGGGGAAGATATTCTAAGCTGACCTGAATGATACACAACAAGGTAAAGGATTGAAAGTCCTTTTCCAATAGAAGATAAAATGGTGTTTTCATTATCTTTACTGTTGCTGCCAAGCAAATTCAAAGACAAGCTTGCATGAAGCCGATTTTTAATCCACTCACTTTATATCTAATAAGGTGTGAGTGAGCACGCTTGCAGGTGAATAAGGAACACATTAAATACCTTTTTTCTACAGAAGTCCTTGCACAAATGAGCTCTGTTTCTGTGCGGGTGGTTAAGGTAAATGTATAAAGGAGTATTATGACCGCACCAAGGCAGTTCGTTTGAGCTCAACGGCAATTATTTTTTCTTTTTAGCCCAGCAGAAGATGAATTACTTAAGTATCAAAATTATCCTGGAAGTGATCATGTATTTCTGATTCTGGCTGCTCAACAAAGCAAACAAACCATATCTATGACAAGACTCTAATCTGTTTTCTGTATTTGCCATTCTTAATTCAAGGGAGAAAACACCGTAGTATTTTGGTTTCTAAGTTGACAGTCAATTATTAAGAAACGATCCAAACAGTTTCACAGGGCTTTACTGTGATGGATGACTAATGTGGTTCCAGATTACACAGTGCAGAACTCTCAGCTGCAATTTCTCTTTCCAAACATGCAGAATGACTGTAACTGAACATCTCTTGATCGCTGTTCTCTAAAGATCTTGCACTGTGTAAATGCACTCATGAGAATGCAGTCTGGGTGGCAATCGGAAAAATTCTCCCCAAGAAAACAGTCTAGTTTCTTTTAACTTAATACCACTCAGGAGTAACCAAAAATAATAACCCTTCAGTTTTGTCATTATTTTGGAAGCAAATCTTAAGCCTGGGACCTTATATACGCTGTAAGTATTCAGTTACAAAGGATCATTCAGCTAAAACTTACCCTGCTGGAAGTCTCCAGTAAAAACTGGAATGTGTTTTGTACAGCTTGGCACGTCTCTAGTTCAG